GATTCTGAATAAGACAGGAATTAGAGTGGCATTTAAACCTACAAACTCACTCAGGGACAAGCTCTGTAAGTTAAAGGACCCATTGACCCAATTAGACAAAATAATATAATTTACCAAATACCCTGCAATGACTGTGAGGTCAACTACATAGGTCAAACTAGTAGGTCACGGGTAGTCAGATTGTCAGAACATAAGAATTTAGCTAAGGTAAGAATGGTTGACCCCGAGAAGATAAGTAATTTAGAAAAAAGCTCAGCAATTGCAATGCATGCATTAGCACACAACCACACAATAGGGTGGGAGAGGGTTAAAATTCTAAAAAGTAACTTATGTAGGTGGAGAGAGAGGTTGATTACTGAATCCTTGTTCATCGAATCTACACCCAACACATTTAATAGGAATGATTCATCACTCATACCCGAAATATGGAAAATATTACTACCAATCAAATCAAGTGAAGAACAATGGAACTATATAAATGAATTTAGGAAGTCGTGTGATTACCTTGATATGATTATGAGCAATAAATTGTGCTCGAAACGTCATCAGTAAACATTACTGTATAACACTGTGAGACTTTATCAAAACAAAATTTACCGATAATGGAATTACACTCTACCACAGTGCACAAGTTTTATTCTTATATCAATGAACTCGGGCAAATTTTCAACTGACTTCCAACCTACCAGTGTGCAATTCAAGAAAAAAATGAAGGAAAATGTCGTGGAAAATTCAGTCTGTTTAAGGTGAAGTACTTGGCGTCACACGATATACTATCGGCAAATATTCTACTTGAAGATTCTATACAGGCACTCAATATTTCTCAAGAAGTTATACTGATAATTCTGTATTGTGTTTAAACATAATCTCCAGAATAAATGTGTTATTATTATTATTCTCCCTGACAGTTTGTGAATTTGAGTCTACACAATAAAAACATATGTAAGAAAGTTTATTTCATCACTATCAGAGACCCATTTCGAATATAGTATCATCAATATTTCTCTGAAAAGCGATTATTGTAATAATTCACTGGCCTACAAGGTAAGACTTGGTAATTTCTACTGACAGATGATAGGTTTTACACTCAGTGAGAATTACGGGCAATTAGATATACGTATACCTATATGACCGGTTTCATTTTGAAAGAAACTATTGCAAAATATATAACAAAATTCCTGATCTACTGAGATAAGTAGTTTCATACCACTCATATTGATCAGCGGTGCTTGCTAGCCAGATAGAAGTGATCTAAGTATTGCGAGGCCTTTTCGCTCGTTGGTGGCAGAGCCAATCAACGGTGTACCCCGATGAACTCAGCTCAGGGGGCTCAATCAGTTCAGACCACCTGATTTCAGGTTGTCTACAAGAACGAACTAGTAATACCGCTAACCAAGTTTGCAATTTACACAGTTCGAGGTGGAATTTCCCTACATTTGGTTTATTTGAGTAGTATACAACTGCATTTCACAATCGATCAGTAGTAATGGCATTTATGCATTTATACTTGCTTATTTGATTACCATTCATAGTGTCAACACTTCACATATTATAATCTAAATAATTATAGTTTCTAAAGCAAACTGTGGTGAAACTATGTAAATTGCAGATTACGAATTAATTTGCAAACTGAGAATTTTACATCTAAAAACCAAATTATCAGCATGAGTGATTTTGATACAAGTTCAAAAGTTCATTTGTCTAGGTGAAAACCTTAAGAACCTAGTAATAATATCTATATAAAACTTAAAACGCGAGATCTCAGTAATATAGTAGCAAACTATTACTAAAAAATTATATTTGTAAAATCTCAGCGAGATTGAAATGAGTAATTCCAACGTTTCGTTCGGCAATCTGGTCCGAACTTCTTCAGGGAAATTAATCGAAATTAACATAACATAGGTTTATATATAAAAGGAGCATCACTTGTTTTTAAAAACTTTGTCCAATCATGAGTCATTCAACAAGTATAATAAACAAAATTTTATCAGCTATGATCAAAATTTGACCTCGGACTTACAAATATCGGTCTACCTTTGTTAAACACTTTAAACAGAGTGTGTATGTGTGTGTGGGTAAACAGTTGTAAAACATTTCTTAACGTCTCCATAAAAAGATATGGACAGTCGAGAATTTTGACCAAATATTAATAATTAGTGATACATATCCATTTTTTATTTATTAATAAGGATCTCCTATGCATCAGCTAACATCACGCCTTCATGTCTGTGCAAACTGTTAGTATCTAGAATTTTATGATTAGACGTATTTTCATTTCAATCTCGCTGAGATTTTACAAATATAATTTTTTACAAATGTCTACTTCTCACTCGGTGCCCAAATATTTTAGAACTATTCTGTCAAATCTTGACGACAGTTCATTTGAGCTATTACTAAAGTTAATAAAATATATAACTAATTTAGAAATATAAGCCAATGTCTTTAAAAAGATCCCAAATTAAACTCCTAAATGAGACTTACGATAACAAAAGCCTTCAATACAATGATCTTTTCGGTAACAGATCTAGAAGTAACCTGATAGTGGAACCTGAAAATAAACTAACAGCCAGTACTTCACACTGACGACGATGAGAATGAGTTCTGTTTGTTTTAATATCGTTCACCTGAAACATAGCATGACGATTAAACAATCTGAAACAGATCACTGAATACAGATTCATAAAGGTCATCGAAAAATCTATTCTAAGTCTTGTTATAGTAAAAAAAAATATTGAAGCTTTTGGTTAAAAATTTTAATTCTATGAGTATTAACTACGCTCAAAACATTTACCACATTATTATTATTATTTGATTCCCAAAATCACCGTCATTGGTTAAAATTTTATATATAAATCTATGTAAATTAGAGTAAAGCCTGAAGAAGATCTAATTGAAAACAATATTGTTCGCTTATATGTCTTGTTCTATGAGTATTGTTCACTTCCAGTATTTTTTCTAAGTTCAGGCTTAGATGATGTATGAAAGAGTGTAGTGTACGAAAGAAGGAAAGGGATCACAGTTAAATGAGTCCATACAGGCGGAGACATTTAAAATAAGGTCAGTGATCACTGACTCGCAAATTATATCCTTGCTTCTTATTGACTGACTAAAAAATGGAACTCCTGGATTTTTAGTAAGAATTAATGACTGGTGGCATCCATTAGGTCACAAATGATGAAAAATACACTTCAACGACATTGAACAGAGGTGATGCTTCATTGCAAAGTGATAGAAATTAGAATTAACGTGCCATGGAGAGTAACACTCTTGTTTCATAACTGGAGAAAGTTTGGGTTCTATTCCTGCTGATGAAGTGCCCTAAAGGAAGACGAAACAACTATGTATTACTGAATGGTTTTTAATGGTCATCCAGCTGAAGTCCGTTTGTATTGAAATCTAATTTGAAGTCAATTAGATTCCAAAGTATCGAACACTTGGAAATGATCCTTGAAATTTTCTGGAATAGAATAATAGTAGTAAAATTTCTCAACAATATGTATTGACTGAAACCAACAGATTTCAGACCACTGATGAATTATTTCACCAGTTGAAAATGAAAACATTCTTCTGTTATTTAGTTATAACTCTCAAATCTTGTGGTTGTTTCATTAGGTAAGGCTGAGAAATACCAAACTGGTGTGAAAAGTCTGTTTTCTGTTCAGTGATCTCCAATCCGATATCAAGTTAGTATAAGAACCGTCTTCAAATGTCTCCTTTTACGAGAGACACAAAATCTATTGAACTATTGAAAATTAATCTGATGCTCTCTAGTAACTTGTTACAGGACGGAGTTTCCTGGAGTTCTAGTGAGAAGTCGTGACCAGTGAGGTCCATCCAGTCAAGTGTGAGGATGGATGTCCCACCGATGACATTAGTTGGTGGTTGCGCTAAACTCATCACGAATCGGTAGAGGTTAGAATTCATGGGCCATTGGATAGTGTCCCAGTGGCTGAATGGTATACGAGCTTGCCTTGTAACCGGAAGGTCCTGGCTTCTAACCCTTGTGGTGGGTGTGTACTGCCGATGATTCCCAGAACTAGGATGAAACAGCTGTCCAGTAGTCTCTGGTTTTCAATGGTTCTCTAACTGATATCAATCCGTGATCAACTCGAAAAAACTGAAATGACTTTCGTAAAGCCCAATGACTAATAAGCTAGAAAAGTTGAATCACTTTTCATGAACAAGGAATTAACACACTCCGTGTAAGCAGCCACTGGAAATCCTAATACACCGTAGTCACATGGTTGTCTTCAACTTCCTGCTTTCCCCTTATTGTCTAGTTAAACCTATATCTCGGAGTATTCCAGAAAGTCATTATCGCTAAACCGCTTCCTTTGAATTTGTCGCCTGAAATTCCATTGGTTTCGCCTAGATTTAGAAATCACACAGAAAATCTAATAGGGCAAATTGCCAGACTAGGTCCCGATTCAATTCACGGCCTTGCTTAGCCGGCAGTAAGCCTGGTGAAGAAGGAGGGTTGAGCGTGAGTCAAGCAACCCAAAACCATAAAAACAATACCGAGGCTACTGAAACCTCAGAGCCGTAGTCTGACGTCTTGTATTACACTTGGAACCTAAAGGAATGGAGAAAAAAATACTGAAGAATTAGATAACATTTGCTTATGCAGTCCATAATCACTATTTATGCTAAGGAAGGAATTGGAATGAAGTGATAAATTTAGCATTTCGTTTAGTTAGTTTCACCTGCAGTACTGCAACTAGTAGACATCACTAGAGTTTCTCATAAAATGGTCAGTAAGATGACTGGTAGTCAGAGATAAAGATTAATAACCCGTGATTTAAGTCACTGTGAAAAATAGGACCTAATTTGACAACACATACAGAAGCTTTTCGTCAGAAGGACACTTACCTCATACATTACAGTTTTTCAACTCAAACATTGACTCAACACTGATAAAGCTATACTGTCAATAAAAACGGGAAAGTAAATATCCAGTCTGATTAATATTAGGAGAGTAGAATTTTCAAAAACTTTATTAACGACAAATACAGAAAACAAATCAACAAAAAAGAAACACAAACAATTAACAAAATGGTACAGATAACTTCTATGGGAAACGATCAATAATAAGCCAGTCAACAAACGGAGGATTCATTTTTGATACATTTGGAAAAATTGGATGCCATCTAACATGTAATTTTGATGGAGTTTTAAGCATTTCATCCCAATGTTTTACACCTTTCAACTGTGATGCACCAGAACCAATATGAACTTCACCAAGTATACGATTATATCGCCATTTTTCAATTTGTCTTAATTGAAATACCACATAGGCATCTTTAATATGCTTTTCTTTAATTTGAAAACTGATTTTCTCATTAAAATATGGATTGGTCAATTCTTTACGTGTTTGTGTTTTACTTTTCTGTAATAAACGATTATGGTATTTCAGTTGAACAGCAATATCTAACTCTGTGACAGGTAATTTCATAAAACGACTTTTTGATTGTTCTAAATAATTATCTAAAATTAACCTTCTTGCTTCGAATACACAAACATCAATCCGTGAACTGTTTGGATAATAGCCTAAACCAACACATATTTCACCGAGTCCTGAGTCTTTTGGATTACCGCTTAATAACCAGTCAGTTTTTTCTAATATCTTTCCAACATACTCACTATGATCTATTTCACACAACGGGATTTCTAGCTTACCTAAACTTGTATCAATATAATTTTCATTGTAGTCAAATATTTCCAAGATGATAACAGCTGTTTCTAATTTTCTTTGAGCAATTTTATACACAAATGATTGATTCCAACATGGTCGATCTGAATGATGTATAATATCAGTTTTATATTGTTTGCCTATTGGTTTAACATGTTTACCACTCCCGTGAATACCGTTCACACTTTCATTCTTTTCATATTTAATCAATGAGATAGCAGCATATGTGCTTAATTTTTCTTGTCCAGAATTACCCAATAGATTGCTGGCTTGAATGACACAGATTTCTAATTCTTCAGCCTCTAGATTATAATTCAATGCATATTCAATTCTACCATATTCAAGAAGCGATTCAGTTGATTTCGGTAGACCTGGTATATCATCAACAAATATTGGTTTTTCTTTTTTCTTTTGTGGTTTTGGTATATATTTTTTACGAATAAATGTTCGAATGCATAGAATTGTCATTATGAGTATAGTAATAGAACAGATACATATGGATATAAGAATAAAAATAGCTACTGGTATACTGGATACATGAAAGGTTTTAGCTAATTTAGACAAAAATGGATTCGATTGTAATGGATCTGGTTGGTAAGGGATTGTTTGATTGGGATTGCTTGACATACTTTCTGTTGTAGTCATTGTGTTCTTACATAATTATTATATAAGAGAATTTATCGAGTTTATGATTAATGATGAACTCGTTTCGTCTTCTATGAATTCAAATTGAAAACTGTACAATTTGTATTGTAATTCATTTATTCCATCCGATAAAGTAATTAAATGCAAAGCAATACTGTAAATGGGTAACCAATTTTTGTATTAAAACACTAGAAGATTCTGATTGGTTAGATAATTAATAATTTGATTGGATTTTCACTACTATCCAGTAACTGTCAGCTGATGATTAGTGAGTCATAAAAATAGATATTATTTATCTATCTATCAACTTGTTTTTTTAGCCAATAGCTGATTTATGCTCTTGTATGAATTTGGGCATGAAGAAATTAAAAATAAATAAATAAATAATTAAATGAAAACCCAATGAAATAGGGGCGTATTCTATTTCTGCAATCTTATGCTTGTCTGGTGAGTCTAAAAGTAATCGTAAGGTGTTTTCGTGCATTCAACAGCAAACGCCACAGCAGCTGTGTGTAAAAATAATCGATAAAACAGACAGTTAAAACATCCGAATATAACGTCTGATACGACTACAGCACTTCTCAAAGCATGTTGTAATAAAAAACCACATAAGACCCAACTACTACTTGTAGAAATTCAAATTGTAAGTGACCGCTACGGTTCTAGCCATTCAAGTAGGTAGGCAAGAAAGTGAGGTGACTATAAAATATATCTACTCATGTTTGTCGCTATTGCCATATTTCAATGAAATACCACTTGGCTAAAATTATATTCGCTTTGTTCTCAGGTAATAGCAAACAGTGCTTTTGTTGAACACTAATTAGTTTTAATGATCATATAAACATATGGAATAGTGTAGCTTAGCTATCATACAATGTCTGTAAGGATTGATTACAGGATTTCATCATGAGCTGACATCGGTTGGAGAACCGTTGTAAAACTTAAGAGTACTGGATAGCCGTTTCGTCCTATTTTGGGACTCTTCACAGTAAGCACCCAACGCCAAGATTCGAACCCAAGACCTTCTGGTTACAAGGCGAACTCTTAGACCATCAGGCCACTGGGACCCTCTCCAATGGTTCATCGATTCTAATTTCTGCCAATTCATGATACGGCACGATCAATAGGCAATGTCATCGACGAGTATTTGTCCTCACACGCGACCTGCTGTACCCGAATGGTCACGACTTCCCACTAGAACCCAGGTAACTACCTACCTGAATAGGGCCAGTCGCTAGTGAGCATCATATTGATATTCAAGTATTGGTTGATGAAATCCTGTAACCAGTCAATCGGATCCCTAAAAACCAATACTTGAATATCAGTAAGGATTCTTAGGTCAGTCTGAAAGTATGCATGTGCACAGCATATACTTAAAAGTGAACAAATACGAGTATAGAGTCATAGGCAAATGTTAGCTTGGAGCACTGTAGGTATACGGCTACAACATTTCTACAATGTCATATTTAAACAAACTATGGGACTTAAAAAAGTTATAATATAGTAGAATTGTCCCCATATTCAAAAACACTACACTTACTAGTGTTAAATATCACATAAATATCAGTTATATGGTTTTAGGTATTCAATAGGTGAATAAATCCCATAAATAGTTTCTACTGCAACTAGAGATTTCATAATAGTTTCGTCTTATTTTTTGCCTCCTCATCAGTGATTGAGAGGTGTTGTGATAATGTATATCTTTTAATTATACTGATATGTTTGCTTTTAAACTATTATCAACAGAAACTCTTCATTTAAACTTCTAGTTGCCTGGCAATGATATAAATCCCTCTAGTGAGAGGTGATTTCTATAATATTTATAAAGTGAACAAAGAGGAAGCCATTCAAAGCATCATACAAAAACACTGACTCGGAAGAATCAATAAACAGAAAGTGGAATAGGGCTGAAGAGAAGTCAAAATTGTACGAAGCTAATAAAATTAGAAAATAAAATAAAAAACTGATCTTTTTATTGTTTATTATTCTATTCTTTTCGCGTTCCAAGTGGAAAATAGGACTTCAAACTTGAGCATTGAAGCTACAGTAGCAGTGATGCTTTTACGTGGTGGGATTTATAGCCCCACGTCCAACTTTCCCTCTTTGTCAGGACTTCCAACCGGCTAGGGAAGGTAAAGGTGTGCGCCAGCCCGGAATCGAATCCCGGACCACCTGCATGGTTGGCGTGCATTCAGTTAAGAACTGAGAGTTTAAAAAAGACAACAATTATCAGTAACTCGAGGAAATGTGAAAGGGCAAGGAGAATATATTAGAAAATAATGAATGGAAAAGAAAGTCTAAATACGTAGTAAGAAGAAATTAATATCTGTTGTCAGGAAAAACAAGAAAAGCAAAGAGGGAAGTGAAAATTGTTGTGCTGCTATATTTTGACTAAACTAACGTACACGTATATCTTAGTACTTCTTCGCGTTTATCATTGTGTGCTAACGTTGTGATTACTCGACGTCCACAACGTAATTTAAAAGGCACTTGCGAAGGAATACGACAGTGTATTATTGCAGCAATCAAAATTCAAAAATCGAGAGAGTACAAAAAGTATCAATTGTTAACATGCCAGATTTAGAGTAATAAACAAATCGAAGTACAATTACATAGTGAAAGTATACTGCGATGATGAGTAATAAAATGGGACACTACAAAATTACAAAAGAAACGGAATGAAATGAAACAAATGAATACAAAAATAAAAATAACAAATAAAACAAACTAGACAAAAAAAATATAAAATACATATGAAAAAATTTATGATTAGAAGTCTAAAGAAGAGATATCAAAAACGAAGAAAGAGAAGATCATGCTGATCGATAGAATTGGTTGATTATGACCCTACATTATTCTTAAGTACTGACATAGGTCACTGTAGGATTGTAGTGGAATGGCTGTACAGGTTCAACCTGTACCTGTCGTAAACTTCAGTTGGTGAGTACTTTGACTAAAGCAACCAAGAGTTGGAATTTTTGAAAGAGTCAGACTATAGTTTATGATATTCTGTTCGACAGTAAACACCATCTGAGTTATTGCGTAATATTGTTCAACCTAACTTTAATTGCATTTGAAAGTGATATTTCCAAGTGGTGTGAAATATACGTGTGTGAGAGAATCGATATTATTACATGTGCTGTGGATAATCATGGATGGTTGTCGCTTGAGCTACATCAAAAATTTACGGAATTTAGAATTCATGCGTGACTAATGAATTCTGGGAGACTAAGTAGTTTCTCCACGTGAAACATTCGCAATCTCAAGATATTCAATTTAATATTAAGAGCTGCGATGGGTGAGGTCAAATTCGTTTCTCAAATTCGCTCGAATTCCCAGTCGAATGCATTTAGTGTTTTAATTATTCTACGATTAACGTTGACGTAGTAGGCATGTTATACTCCAAACAGTTTCTATCTGTCGTCAGTATAAATACCATGAAGACAATATATTAATTACGTTTCTGAATTGATCAAAAATATGAAATAAAGACCAGATAACTGTAGATAGCACTGCTTGGTCGTAGCACCACCTGATTTTCAGGAAGTGGGAATAGGTAGGATTCATGACTGGTGGATACTGCATTCCAAGCAAATAACTGACTGATCAACACGAACCACTTGCATCCTCGAGGTCTACTTCCATAGGTCTGAAACATTTCATTTCCAGACTATCAGTCATCCTATAAGTGATATTTACCCCTCATGCACTGTAAGCTGAAATAATCCAATTCATTTGCAGCAGAATGATTGAACTGAAAACCTCTCCTGAAAAATCTACATTACTGGCATTTATTTGAATATTTCAACGGCTTTTGGAATTAATGCTGTTTTCTTCTAACATTCTAACATTGATAAATCTTCTTTGAACTTGATCCTAATTATTTGTCTTTGTTTTCGGTTGATCCTGATTCTTAATGCTTCACTTTACTATTTTATGTGATACTAGATTGTTGACAACAATTCGATACTTTACTGTCGTGATTCAGGATTGCGCCGCAGAGTGTTGGCTTGCAGGAGACGTATTCTCTTCTATTTGATTCCAGTAGATTGTATTTTCTTTTCATTTTGTAGGGAATATTCTTGTTGACTGTCAGGTATCATTAATGTAAGTGTAGAATTTAGGCACTGTGGTAGAATGTAATTCCGAATTAGATAAGTTCATTCTAAATATCTACCTGCTATCCAAAACAGGTTCTTTGCAGATTCATGAAGAATTGAAGTATGTAGTAATCGAAAGTATCTAATGTCACATGATGGTCATCAAAGGCATTGGTCAGCTGTGGCGACAAAATGAAACTATTAAGAATTGATGCTTAACGGCTTTATTCCAAGTGACTAAGTAACCGCTGACCATCAATCAATCACAACATTTAGGACTCAAATTACAGCAATTCAACTTCCGATTTCCGGACATTTGTTGATTCCAAAGAATCATGAAAAACCAGTGAACTACTTCTTAACTGTTATTCATCCTATAACTGATAATTAACCATCAGGAAGGAATCACAAAATAATGCATTTCAGCAACAGCCATCTAGAGACAAAATACTGCAAACAGTTTCCACTTGATATCATATTACATTTTGTGATCATTAATGAAGAATAGGAGTAGGTAAGGATTCAAAATATGAACGCCCGACTATCGCTGGTGGTATCCGTTGATGTTGGTCCTTTCACTTGGTATAAAAATGAGAACATTTACAATTCATACATGGCTACTACACTCCAAGACACTAACTGATACCTCAGTGTAAAGAGTTCAAAAATCCGAGCTCTTCAGTCTGTTTACTACAGCCGTCATGGATACAATTATCTGTCATCCCGTCAATGAAATCCGCATGATCACTAATCGTACTATAAGTGATATTTCATTCTCAAGAAATATATACCACGATAATTCAATTCCCACTAAAATGCCTGAGTAAACAGTTAATTCATTTCCTCGCAACAATTTGTTCTGTTTTCTTTGTATTAAACTGTATACTACTTATTACTAGTCAGTAATATGAGCGAATCTCCGTTACCTGGGAAGAGAGATCATTGACTTCAGATCATGGAAAACACCGATAAGGAGATTAGAAAGAAGAGAACTCGAAGTTCAGCAAAGACATCATTTCGGTGATTTCATTTTCAAAAGCTGTACAATCGCACTT